CTCAGCTCCGCCAAGCCCCGCCCCGCCCCGCCCACTGCGGCCCCACGTCCGCCTGCCCGCCCGCCGCGCCGCGGGGTCTGCCGGGACTTGTAGTCCGAGCCGCGCTCGCAGAGGCAGAGCTGAGGCAGTCTTCAGACACACACACTGACAAAGAGGGCCAGACACTCAGAGAATCCGACAGGACCACCCACAGACAGACAGAGGTGCGACACTCTGGAAATCAGATAGGACAACCCTCAGACACATAAACACACAGACACACTCCGATAAAATCCTCAGACACACAAACACAAGTACCTAACACATCTCCCACCCCATATCAATTCACATACAGAAGTGTGATACAGAGATAAAGATACAGCAACTCTCAGATACACAAACAGAAGGAGGACGCAGGGAAACAGGACAAATCTGGCACACAAATACACAGGTACACAACAATCTCATACACATGTAGATATGGACTCCCAAGATAGACACAGGAGCACAGATTCACACACACACACAGATTCACTCACGCAGGTGACATTGAGAGACAACACACACACACACACACACACACAGTGGTATGACACTCAGAAACACAGATGTAACAATCTCCACCCACCCACCACACACAGGCTACACTTGGAGTCAGCCCCAGCTGCCTACCATATGCATGCTGGTTCAAGGGGCCCTCCATCTCTTCCAGACTGTGTGACCATGGGCGAGTCAGTTAACCTCTCTGGGTCTCATTTCTTCTTTTTAAAATTTTTAATTAAAAAAAATTGGGGAGAGGGGGCTCATTTCTTAATCCATAGGGCCGCAATGACATTAGCAATGTCTGCTTCATAAGGTTTGTGAGGATCACATGAGAAAAAACATGTAAAGCACTCGAGACAGCGCCTGTCACTGCTCAGTAAATGTCAAAGAAGGAAGACACACCTGCCCAGAGCAACACGGTCAGATACGCCCCTGCAGAGATACGTGTGGACACAGGGAGACTGCGGTGATGCACAGGAGGCCTCTAAAATGCCGGAGAAATAGCAAAGGCACAACGCAGCCTTCAGATGCCTCACAGCATGATTCACGTGACACCACTGCACAGGGGGGATGCACGGAGGCCCCCGAAAGGCACTGGAGACCTCATACTTGTATGCGGCGTTCATCACATTGCTCCATAGTGACAGGAACAGACAGTGTTCTCTTGATCCCAGGGTCAGTGGCATTTGGACTAAGGACTCCTAAGGGTGGAGGGTGGATCAGAGACCCCAGGCTCTGGGGCAAACCAGGGAAGGATCACAGCAGGCCAAAGATAGGACTGGGCCTGATCCACCGTCATTCATCCACTATGAATTTATGGAGTGCTGGGTACTGTTCTAGGAGCTGAGAAGAAAAGGGTGAACGAAGCATGTGAAAGTAACCAAAGACAAGTCAAGGAAAACTCCCACAATAACCTATTGAGGAAATTCCTGGAAGGAGACAGAGCTGTGATAGAGAGGAATGGTAGAAAGGGAAGCAGGGAAGTCTTTGACCATACCTGATACATATCGAGGACTCAGTAAATAAATTTGGGAAAGGAATAAATGTCGGCAGGACTTGCTGATGGGTGGGATGTGGAGGTGCAGGAACGTGTAGAATCAAAGATGGCCCCCAGGTTTTTGGATTGAGCAGCTGAGGGACAGAGGAGCCGTTTACTGACCTGGGGAAGGCTGCTGGTGGACCAGGTTGACCACCCGGGGTGCGGTGGGAGTGGTGGAATGATCTGAATGGGCTTCACTCATTTTATGTAGAAGACCTGTTTCATCTGCAGATGACATTTTCAGTGGGGACAATCTATTTACCTTCTCAGAGTTCCAATTTCCTTCCCCAGAGCTTAGCCCAATGCTTGGCAGACCACTTAACCAGGGGAACCCAGATCCCCACAGCAGGCAGGATGATTGGGCTTAGGAGAATGGCTTGCTCAGATGGCCTTGCCAAGAGGCAGTGTGGTACAGTGGCAAAGGGCTGAGCTCTGGCGCTGGAGAGATCTAGGTTTGGATGTGCATCAGCTGCTTTCTGGCTGTGTGAGCCTAAAAAGGTCACTTCCCTCTTTGAGCCTCTCTCTTCTCTGGTAAAATGAAAACTGTAGCGAGGATGAAGTAATGTAGCAGGTGCTTGGTAGAGCCAATTACTTTCTTTAGATCCTGGCACTGGGCTAGAAGATTCATAAAAGCAGTGGGCTTGGGGACTGCCTCATAAGCCTGGTCCCCTCATTCTTCGCACTGTTAATACTGCTTGGCATTCAAGAGGCTCTATCTTTCAAGCCATCTGAGAAGGAGCTAGTCCTGCCCCTCAGCCCATCCATCACCTTGATGGGGCAGGAGGCCAGAGGAAGCTTTCTTCCAAACCGCAGAGGATGTGGAAGCCCTGCTGTCTGTTGAGGTTACCTCTGCGGAAGTAGCTCTCACTGTGTGGTGATCGGGCGGTCTGCGGGCTGGGTTCCAGTCACCTGTGGGTCAGGACCAATGGAAGAACTTCCCTTCCAGGGCTGCTGCTCCCTTGGCGGCGCATGGGAAGGACATAATATGCTGGGCAAAAGGCTTGAGAAGTCACTAATTTGGACTGGCTTATTCTAGAGTATTGCTTCACTTCTCGATTTCTCGAGATTTCACTAGATTTTTTTTGCAACCAAAGGGGATTTCTTACCTAGTGACAAACCCCATGACCAGTTTATGGCTGTCTAGACACATAAAGTGGAGTTTCAGCAATTTGCCTGGTAGTTTCCTGGGCAAGGAAGAGAAGGGGCCAGAAGAGAAGGCAGTCAGTCGGTGGCACTCCCTCCCTGCACTGAGCAGTCCCTGTGCTCTGAGAGATGAAAAATGAACATTATTATAGCCTTGCACAGAAAAAATCATCTTCCGAGCAGGAGTTCTCTAACACTGGCCAGTCGTGCCAAAAATATACCAAATTGTCAACTCCAGAGGGCTGGGAATTAATCTCCTTTGTACACCCACAGCCTTCGGCAGAAGGCTTTTCACACAGTAGGTATTTGAGACAAAGCAATTAAACTGAGTTTATGGAGCACTTGTTCTATTGCAGACTAGGTGCTTTTCGCACTTATTTTTTTGAAAATTAATATGTGAAGTATTTATTTATTTAAAATTTTCAGCTTTATGAGGTATGATTGACAAATAAAATTTTAAGATGTTTAAAGTGTATGCCATGATGATTTGATATACCTGTACTCTGTGAAAGGATTTCGTCACGTTACGTATGTGCATTTTTTGGTTTTGTTTGATGCCAACTCGCATTTATTTTTATTTAGATTTCAACCACGATTCTGAGAGGTGAATGTTATTAATTCCCACTTTACAGATAGGAAAACAGAGGCACACAGTTCAACAACTTGCCCATGGGCCAGGTAGGAAGAGATGCCTGGCTTCAATATGAGAGACTCGAAGCATTCCATAGGATTACTTTTGTGTGAAGGTACGTTGTCTGAACACAGGACACTGGAAATAGCATAAAGGATAAAATGCTGTCTTTCTGGTCAGGTTGGCAGTTTTATTAGAAGAGTCTTTATGACAGTTGAAATAGAACATTTGCTTGCAATCCAATGAAAGATTAAACAGGCAGTTAATTAAACTCTCGGTTGATAACATGTTTCAATTTTGCTGGAGTTTAAATGGAGTGAGAGTGACCTACAGTTGCAAACTTGACATCAATGAAGCCGCTTTGAAGTGGCATCACCCCAGCTACATCTCTTATCAGTGGCTGGGGATGCGAAAGTCTCTTTACAAGCCATTGAATTCTTCATGAGAAAACCCCGACTTTCCCTATTTAGTCATATTATCTATGAATCCAAGGAATGTGATCTTCCTGCGGCTGACAGAAATCAGCGAGGTGTAGCTTTTGCCCTACTGCCTTCCATACACATGACACGGGGTCTGCCTGAGGCTTTTTCAGTTCTCTCTTCTGAATTTGAACACTTGAGGACTGCGTGCTGTGTGGTCTTACTGAGGTGGTAGAGAATTCTGAGATGTTATATCTAAGGGCAAAGACCCTGCTCTCTGAATTTCTAGTAATTCAATGCTTGCTCCTTTTTTCTTAGTGACCTTGGCTCCTAGGTGGCAGGGAACAAATCTTGTTCATCTTTACACAAGCACTCAAGATGCTGGAGAGCAGTGCCTTTGAATCGGCTCTTTTAAAAGTCAGACATGCTCATTAAGGTTCATCCTCAGTAATTCAGACATTTTTCTTAGCCTCCTGCCTTATGACACAGGAAGCCTTTGTTTCCTGGATGATATATCACTGCTACAACTTAAAAAGCAGACTTGGGATATTCCTGAGTGAAAATAGGGCCCATCTGAATGTGAAACAGCAGGGAGATGGTTAAATAAGTTGTGCATACACACCACAGAGCACTTAACCAGTGGTTAAAAAGGCCAAGGTAGAAAACACATTTTACAAACACACATCCATCGATTGAACAGATAAAATGTGATGTGTACACACACACACACACACACACACACACACACACACACACACACACACACACACTGGAATATTATTCAGCTTTAAAAAGGAAGGTGTCCATGTAAGAATGTCCAAACCTGTAGAGAATTGTTTTGAGTCAAACAGATGATACTCCTAGAAACAAGATCTCAGACTGAGATAGACACTTCAGAGGAAAACAGGTCGAAGTTTCTTCTATGCATTTGAGATTAAGGAGGAGACATTAAGGAAGAGGATGTAAAGGTGGGACAGAGCAAGGCAGGGATCCGACTAAAGGACAGTGGAGGTTATGTTCTCCTTGAGGGTGGTCAGGCTTTATTAGGAGCGTCTGAAAGGGGGCCTCTCAAAGGCGCGTTAACCCAGAAGAGAAGCTCAGAAACAATGGTCAGGGCTTCGCTTAAGGCAAAGATAAATCTTTTACTGAAGAAGTTTATAGGCCTGGGGTGTGACTACTCACCATGACTGGCCCACTTGGGAATTTATGATCAGATCGTCTTGTAAGGTGACCTTCCATAGAACCCCATTTTCGTCCTCAAAGGGAATTCTGATACGTTACAGCATAGATGAAGCTTGAGAACTTTATGCTAACTGAAAATAAGTGTTATATAAAGACGAATACTGTATGACTCCACTTAATGGAAAATAGTCCAAGTCACAGAAACAGAAAGTATAAGAGTGGTTGCCAGGAGCTAGGAGAGGGGCAATGAGTTTTTGTTTAATGGGGTTACTTTCAGTTTTGCAAGATGAAGCGTTCTGGAGATGGGTGGTGGCGATGGTTGCACAATCATGGAAGTGTACTTCATGTCACTGAAATATACACTTAAAATAGCTAAGATGGTAAATTTTTGTATTTTACAATCAAAAATGGAAAAATAGAAAGCTGCTAACAGATTATATTCTATTTTTGAGGAGAAAAAGTTTTATGCATGTCACACATTTGCAATGACATAAAAGTCATTATAACCTTAACAGGGGATGTAGGACTTGGGTTTTTTGGTGGAGGGCTTCCACTTTTTACTTGACATATTTTTGCAGTTTGTTTCTTCCATAAGGGTTATTCCTTCTGTACTAAGTGTCAGAGGCAAGGCAGCAATGGTGGCGATCTATGCTTGCCCCGAGAGGTCCTTTGAGGTCATTTGCAGAGCTAACTCGAGTTCACAGCTATCTGGGTCATTGCTCTGTGCTGGAAGAATCTCAAACCTTGACTCTGTGAGATAAAAAAAGACCGATTTGGTTTTAAATAATTCTGATATTGAAAGGTTAGACTGGGATGCTGTATAGTGAATGATGAGCATTCACTGAGCACTCAGTCCGTGCCGGGCATTCTCACGCCACGTGTGTGAGGCAGGCCCAGTTATGACTCCCGTTTTACAGATGGGAAAATGGAGTGGCGAAGAGAAAGAACTTGTCCGAGGTTGTCCGGCCAGTGAATGGCAAAGCCGAGAACAAACCCCAGGTCTCGCCTGACACCAACTCCAAGCCTGTACCCACTGTACCCTCCCCCGCATGGCTCAGTTCTGGAACCCTGACCCCTTTTTAAGGACAAGGACTCCTTCCCTTCTGGTACCTTCACATTCCTTTGCAGCAAGTAAAAGGAACAGGCTTGCTTTTTTGTTAATAAAGTAGAATAACATTTATTTATTTCTTAAAAGTTTTATTATACATGCTGTATTCATGGACAGTGAAGACCTCTGAAAGAACCCAAATTAGATGTAAGTTATGTCCAGCTGAGCTGGTTGCAAGTCACGTTTGGTGTGAGAACAATTAAGCTGACGCCTTCTTCTCCTTGTAAGTTGCCATCATTTTCTTGATTTCAGCAATAGCTTTCCCTGGATTCAGCCCCTTGAAAAAAAGAAGAGAATCAATACCAAATAAGTAAAATGGGATGGAAGAAGTCCATGACTTTGGGTGAAACTCCTTCCCCAGCCGGTACAGTGCCAAAGCAGAGTGATGCAAATCAGGTCCTTTAAAATCCAGGGGCGTGGGCTGAGGGCTCTCTTCTGTCTCTACTTTCCTACAGTTAAAAGCAGTCAGCTCTCTCTGCCAAGAGCCCCATCTTATTT